AAGCCGGATATGTTGATGGAATTCAGGAACTTGGAGGGAAATTCCATGGCCGTGTCGTCAACATCCTCGCCTTCTTGCTCGACTGAATCGGCTGAGAGGCAAGTGAACATGGCAGAACTGTTCATCTTGCGCAGCACTTTGGCGTTGTATTCATCGACCCCAACGTTCTTGGGTGCCAAAATCGCTCGTTCAGACATGTACTCCGGGGGGTTGGCCAGGTTATTTATGTCGCCATAGATTTGGTCGATGTACGCGTTCAGGTCTTGGTCGGTATCCCAGTTCCTGGCAATTGCATCCGGCAGTCGGATCATGGGAGAGCCGTAGATGTCTTGTTCTGGATATGTTCCGTTTCCAATGTCAACTAACGTCTTGGCCCATTCCTCGATGCTTGCGTCGTCTGATTCACCACGCAGCCGCATGTTCTTTGTCAGCTTGACCATTTTCAATTCGTTCCAGATGCTGCTGCGTCTGAAGGAGGCCTCCACAGTGGCCGATGGTGTGCCGCGTGGAATGATTGGCAGGATTTGCTTGAAATCGCCCGAGAAAACAACAACCTTGCCGCCAAACAGGGCTGTGGGATTGTCCATGATGTCGCGAAGGGAACGGTCGACGGCCTCCAAGGCATGCTTGTGGATCATTTAAGACTTCGTCCCATACAATGAGCTTGGTGTCTCGAATGATCTTTGCCAATGACGACTGCTTCGGAATGTGACATAGGGACTTGTCGTTGAGGTTGGTGACGGGGATTTTGAATCGCGAATGTGCCGTTGTACCGCCCATAAGCAGCAAAGCTGCCAGCCCAGACGATGCCGCAGCAAGCGCGATGTCCCCTTTGTCGCGCACTTTTGCCAACAGGATTTGAGAGACGAACGACATTCGTAAGCCTTCTTCGCCTTGGAGGAAGTACGCCTTGCCTTATCCGTGCTCGTATATTTGGGCCAAATCGGTGGCCACAAAGGACCTGTGCTCGTCAGTCATGGTAGCAGCAGTGGCCAACACTTCATCGAGGGCTGCACACGTGTACGACGTTTCAATGACATAAAGCCGACTTCTTGGATCGTCCAGTAGTTGCCGTTCGCCCAAGTCTCGGAATACTTCGAATTCGTGGAGTTGAGGTAACGGCGGGTAGTCCAAAAGGCTCAGCCGATGATGTTGGAAGCAGTTGTCGATGCTCTTGAGTGTGTAGAACATCGCCTTGCCAAGCATCATGTCTTCACTGAGCGGCTGTGGGAGTTCTTCGTTGCAGCGGCGCAGGTCGCGAAGCCGCTTGTCCATGAAATCTGCTTTGAATTGGTCAAACAGAGCTCGCGTGTTCGCTGGCAGGCAATGCACCAAGATGTTGGCAAACAGTTCGTGCAGCTGTCCGTCCATGCAGTCCAACGTGGCTTGTCGAATACATACCACATACTCTTCGTCGTTTTCCAACAGGCCCATGGCAGTGCAGCTTCTTCGTATGTTGGATACAGAGTTCCGTGAACTGTGCGCAGATCTTTTGGTCCATACTTATGGCAAAGCAGGGTTCGAATGTAGAACCGCTTCTTTTGAAGCGGACTGACCAAATATATGCGGCAAATGACCTTGATGTGGTTCTTGCGTCCAACCC